AATCGAGGAAAAGAACAGTCTCGGGGAAACTGTAAACGCGGCGCGGCCGCGCGCAGCGTTTCATTAGACTAATGGATTCCGATACGGAATAAAGGAGATAGACGGCGGCCGCCGGGCCGGGCCGGGTCGGGCCGGGCCGGGCAGCGGCGCGCCGCGCCGCCAACTACGAAACTCGCGCGTACGCGTGTAAATACGCTCGGTTCCCGCGATCGATGCCGCGGCGATGCGGAAGCAGCTACGGCGATGCCGTTGACGACGCCGTCGTGCCGTTCCGCGATGCTGAAAAAGCCGCGAGAAGATTAAAATCGTGATGCCCGAGTTGACGCCCTCCGGAGAAAAAGTAAATTGCAGGCTCACCGTGAACGGCTCTTCCCGCGGAAAATCAAGGAGATGCTTTTTCCTCGGCCCGTTACACCCCCCCGCTCCACCCCCTCGATGCCACCGGCTACCTTTCCAGAGCCTCCGTTGTCTATGACAACGCGTTGCGTCGGTTCACGGTTGCGTTTTCCGCCTGATCAGTTCGAATCTGCGAATTAGAAGTCGTATTCGTGATCATGGAAAATTATTAGACTGCGAATCGTTCCTTTTCGGGAGCACGGTACAGTAATGTCTCTCTAATTGACGCTCAGTTTGGGAACAAAAATGGGCAATTTGGTAAGAGAAGATACGATTATTTCAGTGTTGCGGCTGGATTTTTATAATTACCGATTGCCAACAATTATAATATATTTAGATATTATTAGGCGTTTAGATATAATTAATATATTTAGGCGTCAAACGAGCAAAGAAAAAATTAACATCGTATAGAATGCAAGAAAGGCAAATTGTAAAGATCGGAGGAATTAAAACGCTAGAATTACAGTAATGTCTCCCTAAGTGACCCTCAGATTGTACAGAAAATTGGACAATTTGGAAAGAGGAGACACGATTGTTCGAGCCTTGTGGCTCGTTTTTTATGATTATCGTATTATACGTATTATACGATTATTAAATAATCGTATCTCCTCTTCCAAAATTGTCAATCTGAGCGTCAGTTAGGGAGACATTACTGTACTTTGTGGATCAGTGGTCCTGACAAATTATCAGTGGAATTGATCTGTCCGTGGTTCTACAATTCCATCGGAAAGTATGTTAATAGATTTTCGAAAGGTATAATGTTGTTCAAATTGGTTCAAATGGCTTGATTTTTGTGCTGGAATGTTGGAACGACTAGTTTTTTAGAAAATATAGTTTTACAGAGGGTATACACAAATTGTTTGGATCGCAATTGACTCGAATGATCAATAAATTAAAACATGCATTTTTATCCAATTTTGTTTATCCGAGGCTGCAACGAAAATTTAAAAAACACGCATTGTAGATCGCGGTAATTTATGCACGTAAGTTGGTAAAGTTATGCTCAAAAATTGAAGTGAAAATATAAATTTATTTTGTCGCATTTATTTGATGCTTTATAAAACAACATTTGGAATAAATAAACGATTTATTACATTTCTTTTTTAAATCAAGGAGGCAACGTCGGCGTAGATGAATATATTTTTTATAAATAAATGCAAATATAAATGTCTTTCCCTCTCTGTCTCTCTCTCTCTCTCTCTCTCTCTCTCTCTCTCTCTCTCTCTCTCTCTCTCTCAATGTAACAGAGGGTTCATCCTGTTGATAAATAAAGTTATTATTATTATTATTATATATTATTATTATATATTATTATATATTGTTATGTATTATTATATATTATTATATATTGTTATGTATTATTATATATTACTATATATTCTTATATATTATCATATATTACATATTACTATTATATATTATTATGTTTTGCGGTAGAACATAAAAAAGAATGACCATGCCAACAGATCGCATTAAAAACGGGCTCTCTCAAGTTCGATGACAATTACGTCACCGAAGATCGGCGCGGATGCGCACGATCCGCAAGCCCGCCGCCGGACATCTGAACAAACTACCCCGGAATGGTAAACAATCTCAAGCAAGGATTTCGAGCCGATTCTAGCCGAGAGCCCTGGGCGATCAAGACGGAAAGTAGTCGCATGGAGGACGAGATCCAGACGTCGCGCGGGTTTACGCTGTTCCGCGTGCACATAAACAGCGCGTGCTGCCACGATGATTAACTCGCTGCAGATTCTCAATGCCGCGCGAACCAGAGCGAGCCCGTTCCCAGCGAGGCCGAGATACCCGGCCCGGCCCGGCCCGGCCCGGTAGCCCGCGTTTCGCACCGGATGCGTCTCTCAGCCGTCCCCGGGTCCCGGCGATCTAGCGATCATCTCGTCCGTCCGCGGATACTCTTGCTCGCTATTTCGGTAGCCGGTAATCGAATCGCCTGTTCCGAAAGCCGCCGCGTTTCGCGATTAGTATGCGATCAACGCTCGCCGAAGCTGGGGGTTCACCGAAGTCGATCCGTCGATCGCTGAACGAGCAGAGCCCCGTGGTCGGCCCTAGCTTGGAGAACGGCGAAGCGAGGTCGAAGGGCGCAGGGAGAACTTGAAGAGCACACTTCGGACGCGAACTCGCGCCGCTGCGAATACTTGGTGTGATTTCTTCGAACGCGGGACGCGCGAGGGGACGGGAAGCTGCACCGTTTAGGCGATCCATGGTGCACTACGGTTGCACGAAAACCGACAGCGGCGGAGTCGAGTGCTTCGTAGAGTTCAGTGAGACGCGAACCTGATCGATATTTCTTTTTTTTTCGTCACCTCGTCCGACCACGATCTCTCGGATTAGTTGCGTCGCCTTCCTCGACAGGCTGCGGATTTTATGCGGTTACGCCGGAAATGAAGACATTCACGCCTAGAACTACCAAATCGATCGAAATGTCTGGTCTCCGATCGTTTCTTTCACGGTTCCCGATGTTATAAAGATATCTCCAGGAGACGTTTTTTAGGACACTTTTTTATTCGAGTATAATTTATATTTCCTAATATTTTTATATTTTTTATAAATATTTAAATATTTTATTCAATTATAGCGTAAATCGTACGGAGTTTAAATGAATCCAGCCTCGGTATTGTTATGCTATAATGTACATTAGACGCGTTTAGGGCTCGGTAGTTCTAGCGTTAAATGCGAAACTGAAAGGATTTGGGAATGTTGTTACGTTGGTTTCAATTTATTACGATCATTGGAGCAGGATAGATATTTTTATCTTGTGTTTTTTACAATTAACGTTGACAATCTCCGTTTCGCATAAAGATCCGCAGGCTGTTCTTCTTTTGCTACTGTGTTAATTGTTGATCGGGTGCATGCAAACCCTTGCTCTATGATTTCTTTTGCAGTATGCATTTTCTCCGGCAGTTAGATATTGATAGTAGGAGAACAGTATAACAGGGTTGATATATATATATATGTTTGGATAT